TTACTGCCGTCTCATCCTTCTCCTCTATATCTGTAGCTTCCCCTGGGTCACTGAAGCAGCCCAGACCTTTGAGCTGTGCCTGGAGAGTCCTCCTTCTGTCCTTCTGCACACTGACAATACATGTGTGTTATCCCCAAGGTCCCCCTAACTGCTTGGTTTGCGAGCGCTTCTCAGGGCTCCGTGCCATCCTCAGCACCAGGCCCTGACGTGCCGGGGCTCCTGAAAAGGCAACATGAGTCATCTACCGACTTCAGGTTCCCTTCCTGCCTCTGGGATGTGTGACTTCGGCGCAGACTCATCACAGGTGTGTGGGTGCCCCTTGCTTTTCTGTGCGACACCGTCTAGGCAGCCCTCCAGTGCTCCTGAACATCCCAGAGGCTCATTTACAATACAGCTGATGCGGGCACCAGGAGGAGCGGATAAGCTTTGTAACAGACACCACGATGTGGTGCCAGACAGGGGCCACAGGGCCCAGCACCCACGGAGCAAGCTCCGGACAGCTTAGCTCCGACTGGAAGAGGTGTCTGGGGAACTGGCCCACAGACCATAGTGGGACTCCACTGCTGCTCTCCAGCTCCAAGCCAGGGGTCACTGAAGGAAAGGCCTCAAGGATAAGCCAGGGTTGATGAAGGAGGTAGCCCAGAGGAGGGATGGCCCCAAACCATCACATTCAAGCTCTGAGTGGGATGATAACCAGGTAGGTATAGTGACTCCGGACCTCTAGGAAGAGACCTGAGTTAAGCTGGACACACTGGCAGGATCACAGACGAGAGCCACCTGCTCTCCCACTCCTCAGCTGGACAGCTCCATCCGCAGCTTGGACTCTGTCACTTCATGATCACAGGGACAACCCTGACTGGGCCCTTCTGTACTTACAGCACACTGGTTCTAAGGTCCACTGAGTTCCTGCAACTCAGAGGCGTGGCATGCCCTCTGTTGCGCCCTGATCTCATCATGGTGACCTGACAGAAAGCAACGGGAGGGAGGGAAGGTTTGCTCTGGGTTCCTGGTTTGAAGGAAGACAGGAAGACCATCCATCATGGTGGAGAAGGGGGAAGGCGTGGAGGAAGGAGTGGCTAGTGGCTAGGACAGCCAGGTATTGGGGGCTTGCTCATATCTTGGGTGGGGGGTGAGGAGAGAGAGAGGAGAAAAGAGAGAGGAAGAGAGGGAGAGGGAGAGGAGAGAGAGAGAGAGAGAGAGAGAGAGAGAGAGAGAGAGAGAGGAACTAGGCCAGAAACAGGGCTGAACTATAACTCTAAGACCTGGCCCCACTTACTAAATGTTCGATAACTTCCCCCAAACAGCCAGCACCACCAGCTGGGGACCAAGTGCTCAGACACGAGTCTGTGAGGGACAGTTCACATTCAGACCACAACAGGCTTTGTGGTTTCCCTTCTGCAGACTTGTTTAGTGGTTGGTTTTCCCCTGAGCTATCAAGTGTTGCCTATAAAGGTGGGTGGGACATCCCTACAGACCACCCTGCTTCCTCTGCACCTTCACTTAAAGCTTAGGAGCTGGCCTGCTTGCTTCCTTCCCTGTGACAGATGAAATGCCCACCACCTGCTGCTTCTCTTGGCTCGCTCGGACCTTGGGCCCTCTGATATTTGGACAGCATTTGCTCCATGGCACTGTCTGGCTGCACACTCCTTTTCCCAGGTCATATGATCCTTACAGCCCAAGAAGCTGACACAGAACAAACACTGTATGTGAGGAATCTCCTGCTGGCCTGTTAGACACCGCCACCGCTCCTCAGTAGACAATGCACCAGAAAGCTGAGCTCATAACCACAGACTGAATACTGAAGGTTCCTCTCTCCACTTCCCAAGCACAGGGCCTGAGATCGATGGGCACAGTTCCCTCCTCAGAGCTGACTGTCCTGAAGAAGTAAAAGTGGCTCTTGTCGAAGAGGAGAGGACCATGGGGCCCCAAGAGTCCTTGTGTAGAATGGAAGGACAACAGAGATGCTTGCTGTCTAGAGAAGGAACAGGCAGCAGTGGGGGCCTGATGATCCAGACAGACAAAGGAGGGTGTGCAAGACCATCGTGTGACATCACCCCGCTCAGGGACCAACATGTGAAATAGCTGCCAAGGACAGGTAATGGGGCTGGGTCTTAGGAGTGCTAGCCTAGGTCACAGATGGCCTGGTAAGAAAGTTGAAGAGCCTGAAATCTACTCTGAATGCTACAAGGGTGTGACCTTCATCATCAACTTGACTTGATAGAATCATCATGTCTATGAGCACATCCCCAGAAAGCCTGAAGTGAGAAGGAAGACCCACCCTGAATGTGGATAAGCCCCATCCATAGTCTGCGGTCCCAGACTGAAAAGAAAGGAGGAAGCCAGCTAAACACCAGCCTTCATCACCCTCTGCTTCCTGAATGTGGACACAATGTGACCAGTTGCCTCAGGCTCCTGCCACCATGCCTTCCCTGCCATGATGGACCGCAGTCTCCAGCTGGCAGCCAAAACACACCTCCTTCAATGGCTTTTGTCGAATGTTTCGTCACGGCAGCAAGAGAAGCCATGATGAGCTCCTTCTAGGGTTTTAGGCACAGCAATGACCGCATACAACCTCCACTCTGTCCACAGGGCAGGTGAACGGAAAGATAAAATCCCAGGAGACCAACTGACCACTCACTGCTCAGCACCCTTCAGGTGTGATAGCCTCAGAGGCATCTCCTGTGGGCAGGAACCAAACAATGACCAACTGTTCACGTATAATTGTAGGATAGAATCCAAGTCAGCTGGTTGGATCAAAGATTGTGTTTTCCTTTCTAGTTACTGAAAAATTATTTTCCATAATGGTGATCACGTTCCTATGGCAATAGTTCTTGCCCTACCTCACCCCCCACAACCCCAGAGAATCCCTCAAATGTCTGTGATCTGATGGGCTCAAAACCAGCATTTTCCTGTTTGAACCTGATCTTCCTATTCATGATGTGAAGCCCCTTTTTATGTTTATTGGCCATTTGAGTTTTCTGTCTCTGGATTGCTTTTCTTCTCTGACCATTTCCCTCTGGGGTTGTCTTTCTCTTTAAATTTGCAGGAGTTCTTTCTTTACTATGAAGTAAAAGCCTTTATGCATCAGACGCAGTGAACATTCCCCCAATCTATCATTTATCATTTCCTGCGAGATACTGTCTCTCTTAAAGGATTGTTTTATGAAACTGAGTATGTTTACCTTGTGATTCAGAGCGCCTAGAGTTCTGAGTTTGACTAAAGAAGGCTCTCTCATACCAAGCTTTAATAAGCAGCTTCTTAAATTTGGATATTTGTGTGTAAATGGCTGTTGGCACTAAAATTCATCTATCTTCGAGTGACTGTCTCTGTTAAATGAACAGCGCGTAGCTAAGGCTCTCCCATGGAAACTGCCACACGGGACCATTTGAAACCTTTCTAAGAAACATGAACAGGAATGAAAAGACACCATTTTCTAAACACATTAAGGAAAATTATCAAATCCAATAACAATATCCCAGGCACTGTATTTTCCCTCATGTCTCACTAAACATGAGTCCCAGAGGAGAGTCGCTGTTCGGACTCTGTTCCTTGGTCTCTGTGGGGTTTTAACTGAAAAATCTTAAAGAGCAGCTAAGTAGAGTTCTTTAAGTGCTGTGATCTGTGCCACTGGCTCTTACAGACGGCAAGGAACCTGGGAGGCGCCCTGCATTGCAGCCACCGTTGTACCAACACGGCCAAGTGCCTGGGTTTGGAAGCACGTAGGAGGTGTCTATGAGGATGTTTGCAGAGAGATTTACCTTGTGGGGAGAAGACCCGCTCTGAATGTAGGCAGCACTATGCCATGGGTTGGAATCCTGGGCTGAATTAAAGGGGCAAAGGAGAAGGTGGGCTGTGAAGCAACATCCACCTTCTCTGCTCAGCTGCAGACACTGTGATCAGCGGCCTCACGCTCCCCCTGCTGTACCTTCCTACCTTGATGGACTGCACCCTCACCACAAGCACAAATAAACCTTTCCTCCCTCAGGTTTGCTGGGTATTTTGTCACAACAATAAGAAAAGCAGTTATTTCAGTTGCTCTCTGAGGACTTCAGCATGAATCCTAACCAAGCATGGCCTGGATTTAATGGAATTGTCCCATGTGCTTGTCACTGGTGTCAGATCAATCAAGCCATGGCCTGTAGGGCACCCTGTATTTCTATACGGTCCCTTTAAGGCCTCCAACCACTGCAGACCTCAGGTTCCTAACAGCCTCTACTCTGGGCTCTTCAAGGTGAATCTTGCTTCTTTGCCCACACTCCTCCTGCCTGCCTGGCATGGAGGTAACCCAGGGTGGAGGCCCATGAACACATGACACACACATACCCGAACATGGCAACCAGCAGGTTGACCAGCAGGATGTTGGTGGACAGCATGTAGATGCAGACCAGTGGGATGGTGATCCACTCGGGGAAGCGGGGCAGGTTGTGTTCATCCAGTTCCACACACAGGGGCTTGGACTCATTCCCAGAGAAGGTACAATGGGAAAAGTCATATGTGGTACCTGTGGGCACAGAACCAATGGGTCAGTGAGGGCCTTATAGAAGAGGGAGGGCCATGGCAGCCCAGAGGATGTGGCACAAGAGCCATCTGCTACCTCAGGCATGAGCCTCAGAGTTGCCTGCTGACCCGTCAGCATCTTCTGGGAGTTAGGGCTTCATTAAGATCAAGATCAAAAGACCTGGCCCTGTGCCCTCAGAAGCATCAGCCTCCTCAATCAGCAGTAATGAAACATACAAGCTTTAAGGTCCAACCTGCACAAAGTCCCCAAAGGACATGGACAAGGTACAGAGGGACCATAACCTCCTGGATCATGCAGGAGCAGCTTCCCACTGAGAAACCATCTCTGGAATACCCAGAAGGAAGAGTGGGTACCAATCACATGAGCAAATGGGAAGGAACGGGTACCCAGAGAGTTGGCAACAGCATATACAAAAGGCCCTGTGGTAGGGACGAGGGGTGAGAGCAGTGAATACAGCGGCATGCATGCTGGATTGTTGGGTTTATACCGAAAACAATTTGATGGTTTTAAGTAGAAAACTATTCTTGACCAAAAGACCACTGTGGCTACCACACAGATCTGAAGGACACAGAGAGGGGTGGATGCAGGCACAGTGTAAGATGGCCAGTGGGCAGGTGAAATGCCCTGTGTGGTGACCATGGGAGGGAGGGAGCAGGGCCCTGAAAAATCAACACACCTAGCTGAGCATCAGGATCTAGGGACAGGACCAGAGCTGATGCTCTGATGGTTCATCTTGATTGTGAATTTGGCAGGATTTGGAGTCACCTAGGTGACTTGCCTCCTGGAATGCCTGTGAGAGGTTTCCCAAGAGGGTTATCCCTCAGTGTGGGCAACTCCATCCCATGGGTTGGAGTCCCAGATTGAATAAAAAGGAGAAACCAAGCAGCACTAACAGTCCCCTCTCTCCGATTCCTGACTGCAGATGTAAAGTGATCAGCAGGCTCAAGTTCCTGCCAGGACTTCCCCACCATAATGGACTGCGCCCCAAACCTCTGAACCAAAGGAAGTCTTTCCTTCCTGGAGTTGATCTTGTGAGGTATGTTGTCACAAGTAAAAGTAATACAGGCATCAATGACAACACCACTGGTCTGACATGAGGTTGGGATGTAGTTCCATAATAGAACACTTGTCTAGCAAGTGCAAGGCCCTGGTTTAGTCTCCAACACTGGGAAGTAAATCACAAAAGGACTCTGACACACAGCACTGTGGCCTTGGTGGGTGTACTGGATAGCTTTAGTGCCAACTTGACACACCTGAGTTGAGGGAGCCTCAATTGGGGAATTGCCTCCATTGGACTGGCCTGTGGCCATGTTTGAGGGGCCTCTTCTTAATTATTGAGTGATGTGGGAGGGCCCGGCCCACTGTGGGTGGTGCCACCCCTGGGCAGGTGGGGCCTGTGTTGCATAAGAAAGCAGGCTGAGCATGGGCCAGGGGAGCAGGCCAGTAAGCAGTGATCCTCCATGGCCTGTGCTCCAGATCCTGCCTCCAGGTTCCTGCCCTGAGTTCCTACCTTGGGCTCCCTGATAAACTGTGACCCAGGAGATATAAGCCACATAAACTCTTTCCTCCCCAAGTTGGTACTGGTCAAAGTGTTTTGTCACAGCAATTGAGAAACAAACTTGAACAGTGGGAATGGTCCAGGTGGCTCTTGGGAGGAAGCCAGTTGAGACCTTCCATTTAGACTAGCCAAGATGGGCCTGTGTGAATTCAGAGAAAGCAGTGGACACTGATTCTGACTCTGAGGAAAGGGGTCCGAGCCAGAGTCCCTCCTCTCAGCCTTGACATCAGTGACATACCCTGGAGGAAGATGACAGTGTGCCAGGTGGGGCATGAAAGAACTCAGGGGAGGAAACAGACACACGGAACACCATGCTGACCAGAACTACAACCCTGCCTGCCCTGACTCTTTAGACATGAGTGCTACTCTTTCATGGGACTCAGCCCACCAATGTGAAGAGTTGTCCTCAGAACAAACTTCATCACGTACAAAAACAGCATGCAACATGCCAACTGAGGAGTTCCAAGGGGCCACCCATCGAACAGCTAATAGGCCAGTTGTTTCAATGATAATGAGTATAGGAATTAGGGCAATGGGGGTGCCTTGGGGGAGGAAGTGGGCAAGTGATGCTTTAGTTTTGTGGTGAAACCCTAGAGTAACAGCTCCTGCTCATAGGGGATGGCTATTCCCAGGTTTATTGATAGCTGTGTGGTTGGGGTGAATGGGGGGTGAGGAGAAGACCTGAAAGATTAGTTGATCCAATAAAGATAATAAGTGAAGCTAGTATTAGGGAGCACGGAAAGGGCTGTTTCTGAAGTGTGGAAGAGGCCTCACCTCAGGGGTGGAGACCAATGGAGGGAAAAGACGGGAGCTGAGAAATGCCACTTATCAGGCCAGTCCTAACTCAGAAGAACTGTCAGTCAGTGTAGTTCATGGTGCAGAACAGGAGACGATAGGCTAGGGCTACTGTCAGTGTCACAAAGACACTCCACACAGCCCACCCCAACACAGTCCACCCCAACACAGTCCATCCCGACACAGTCCATCCCAACATGCACCCGCATATGCCCCACACCTCCCTTGGCAGAGTAAAGTGACTGTGGAGAGCCAGAGTGACCCCCACAGTCCTCTGGGCAGTGGGCTGATGGAAGCCTTGACTGCAGGTTGTAATGTCAATCTTCCACACGCTCTTTAGGAGCCAACCAGGCGCCTGGCCACTGTGACATACAGGGAAGGTCCGGTTCATAACACTCATTTCTAACTTGTCAAGATGTGTCCCATCCTACTGTGGGTAGCACCGCTGAAAATGTGAGAAAACTTGAAGCTAGAAATGTGGCTCAGTGAGTAGAGCACTTGCCTAACATGCATGAAGCCCTGAGTTCAAGCCCCAGCACCGCATAAACCAGGCATGGTGGCACACACTGTAATCCCAGCACTTGGGAGGCAGAGAAAGGAAGATCAAGAATTCAAGGTTTTTCTATATAGGGAATTCAAGGCCAGCCTGGACTAGATAAATGTTTCTAAATAAATTAATTAAATAAATAAATAAATAATAAATAAATAAATAAATAAATAAATAAATAAATAAATAAATAAAAGTAAATAAAAATACTTCAAAATTGAAATATTGAGAGAGCAAGGTAAGATCTTTCTTAGAGCAAAAAAAAAGTGGTGAGAGATCCAGGGATTGGCCCAGGATCAGGGCTGTGAACACGGGAAGCTGTGTCAGGGCCAGCCAGAGACTGGTTGCCCTAGCTCCACCTCTGCCTGAGCAGAGCTGGGCTTACCATCCACATCACTGGGCACCTGGCCGAACATGGCCAGGTAGGGCTCGTAAATGACGGAGCGGAAGATCCACCTCCAGCGCTGTTCGTTTTGCCTAAGGATCCCCTGTCTGGCCACACCGAAGGCCACCATCCACACGGCAAAGAGGAACAGGAAGAAGAACACATCGATCAACTGCCAAGGGAAGAAGTCAGAGCAGTTAGGATCACGCCCAGCAGCTGGCCATGCAGCCTGGTCACTCCCAGCCAGCCGCAGACCAGCTCAAGGACCTAGAAAACTTAAGTCACCCAGTTGCTCAGTCATCTATTATTACAACATGTTTTATCTTTTATTTTAAATTTTTGCACTATTGGGACTAAACCAAGGCCTTGATTTGCCAGTCAAGTGCTCTACCCCTGAGCTACATCCCCAACTCTTAGCTACTAATTTGAGAGCAGAACACCATCGCCTTTGGGTCTTGAGACATCTGTTCTTCAGACTTAAACCAGACTCCTGCTTGCATGTCTCCAGGCAGCTCAGCCATAGCAGTTCTGAGTGAGGGCCCAGCTCGTGGGCTGGAGGACCTCTGATTGGGAGGGCCTCTCTGCGTCCACATCTCATGGTGCTGGCATTCTTTCAACCCCTAGATTATTTCTGTATGGCTATTTTTTAGGACAACAAAAGCAGTCCTTGTGAAACAAGAATGGATCATTTGACTTGTTTTCTGCTGTGTTTTGCACATATAGCATGACTTCATGGTGACTGGATGCCTCAGATATGCTTTGAGTTAAAACCACAAACTCAGCCTCAGCACTGGCAAGGGACATCTGTATGAGCTCATCCAGAGGCCCATCTGATTTCCAGACAGAACCAGTGGAGGTCTGGAAGGTTGGAGGACCAGCCCAGGAGAGCAGCATTCCCAGCATGCAATTGTTCTCCTAGCACGTAGGTAAAACAAGGCTGATGGCATTTTCCTTACATCTGTGTCACACAGTGTGGGATTTAGGCTCCCATCCTACCTACATAACTAGCTGAGCATTTATCTCTAGGGAAACATGTTAACCTCCTGTAACTGGACTGAAACCAGCTATTTAAAAAACGGTATGAAAGCCCCTCCCTGCCTATGCCCTGATCAAGTTGCTAAGACTCAAATGGAAGCATAATGTAGAATGTGAGCTCTCGGGAAAGCCCTGGTGACTTGCTAGCTGCCCACACAGTGACACCATTTGCTTCTCACAGTCGTCATGACTGAAATTTTCCCCTGGGAGTACCGCCTGGCAGAAACACAGGGAAGGCAAACCCAGCTGTGAAAGCACGTCATGCTGAGGACAAAACCCTCCCATCAGCCATGGACCAGCCTCTGGGCAGACCAAGTAAAAGGATGCCCGTGAGTATCGGCTCTTACCATCCTCTGAAGCATTATAATCTTGGGTCCTAAGTTCCTGCTTACAGTGAAAATGTGAATCAGCCTTAGAGTGAATATAATGTAATCTAGGCAGAAAATGACTCGTCCGGAGTACAAAGAGCTTTTATTAGAAGAATGAAGCCTGCGGAGAGAAGAACAGGATTTGTGGGACACGGGCAAAGCACTTCAGAGTTTAGGTTTGGTTTTTGTATATGTACACACATGTGGGGTGTGTGCGTGTGTGTGTGTGTGTGTGTGTGTGTGTGTGTGTATGTGTGTGTGAAGCCCCAAGGTCAACATTGGATATCTTAATCTATTGCTTGCCACCTTATTTTTTGAGCCTGGAAGGTACCAATTCAGCTAGACTGGCCAGACAATGAACCCTTTTCTTGCCTCTGCCCCAGCAATGAGGTTTCAGATGCGTGCTGTCACTCCCAGATCTTACATGTAACCTGCAGATCTGAACCAGGGTCCTGTGACTGAGCCATCTCCCCAGCCCAGTTCTGGGCCTTTGATGGTCATTTTGGATTTGGTTGTTTGCTTACAAGCTCCGACTCTGAAGTTGAAGGAATATATTGGCTTCCTGGAAGGGCAGCATAGGGCCAATATACAGGCCAAAGTCGTGTGCCTTAGGTTAAATGGGCCAAAGTGGACCAACATGGGAAGATGGTGCATTAGTCACTTTTCTGTTGCTGTGATAGAAACACTGACCAAAACAACTTATAAAAGGAAGAATTTATTTGAGTTTACGGCTCCAGGGGAATTACAGTCCATCACCGCAGGGAGGCATGGCAGCAGAGGTGGCTGGAGCAGGAGCAGAAGCTAAGCTCTCACATCATCACACAGGCACAAGAAGCAAGAGAGCGACTGGAGATGTGGCAAGGCTTAAGAACTCTCTAAGCCCGCCCCCAGTGATGTGCTTCCTCCAGGGTAGCCACACCTTCTAAGACCTCCCAAAACAGCACCATCATCTGGGGACAAAATGTCCAAACACTTGGAGCCTATGGGGGACATTTTCATTCAAACTACCACAGATGGCAAGCATCCCCCCATCACCTCCCCTCCATTTCTGAGGATGTCCCCCAAAGCCTATGTGAAACTGAAGAGAGAGACGGCATAAAGAGCCCTGCTTCAATGGCAGACCCCCAGGAAGGGGGAGGAGACACATGTCTCCCCAGGGCAGAGGCAATGACCTGTTTTAATGATCTCTGATAAGGAACAAAGCCATAGATCACCCACAGGCTTGGCATGTCTGGGAATTTTTCTCCACCTCTGTGTCAGAATGCCTGGAGTTGGGAAGGCAGTAAGACCACTTACCGGAACACAATCCCTGCTATGAAGTAGAAAAGGCCCAGTGTGTCCATGACATTCCACAGATCGGTAAAGTAATTCACACCGTTCATGTACCACTGTGGCAAGAAAGGGACAGAGAGAAGTGGGCAGCTTGGACACCGTTCTCTTTCAGATTTCTAAATGGTCGCTCATCTCCTCTTTCCCACCAAGCCTTTTGGAAAGCATTATTTGTGTCCAGTGAATCCTCCCACAGCCGCACCTGTTCCAGGGGCACCAGAAATCTAGCTCTCTGCTGTGTGAGAGACTACAGAGTCAAGAGGAGGGACTCCCTTCCCATGCTCTCCAGGTGAAGCTACAGAGAACATGTGTGACCTGCGTGGGCAAACATGACAAACCCAGGCCACCGTGCACACCATGCACTGTGTGCTGCACAGTTACAAAAGTCATCACCTAGACAGTTGTCACCATAAATTTGTGTTTATTATAAAGATTTCTGGCCCATGACAGGATAACATCTTGATTTAGGAAAATTTCTTTTGAGATGTACATATAGAGCCAGGTGTGGTGGTGCACGCCTTTAATCCCAGCACTCCAGAAGCAGAGACTGGTGGATCTCTGTGAGACAGAGGCCAGTCTGGTATACATAGTAAATTCCAGGCCAGCTGGAGCTACAGGGAGACACTGTCTCAAAAAAAAAAGAAACCATAAAACAAAACCAAAACATGTACATAAGAAAAAAGAATCATCCACTGGAATCCATAAACAGGGTTTGCAGAGTTCCACAGTGGCTGTCTAGCCCTTTCCTTTGCCCATCCATTCAGAATCTGGCTAGTGGGAGCCCACAAGCATCCCAAGCTTGTGCCAAGCCCAGGACAGTGGATTTAATGAGATGACACTGATTCTCATGTAAAGGCAAGTGTTCATTTCTCTCTGTGGACTTGCAGTCCCTAGTCTTCTGTTCAAATATCCTGTTTCTTTTTTAAAAAATTTATTGATTTTAATTTTATGTGCATGGGTATATTGCCTGCATGTGTGTAAGTGTACCCATGTCTTGCAGTGCCCAAGGAGGTCAGAAGAAGGTGTCAGATCCCCTGGAACTGGAGTTAAGCATGGTTATGAGCCACCATGTGGGTGCTGGGAATCAAACCCGGGTCCTCTGCAAGAGCAGCCAGTGCTGTTACCCGCTGAGCCATCTCTCCAGCCCCCAAATATTCTGTTTCTTACTGTGTCCCTAGCACCAAGGCCTAGACAAGGTGACTAAGTTGCCTGCCCAGGTGTGGCAGGCTCACAGATCTGAACAGCCAGCAGTGACCTCTTGCGTCCACAGATATCCTGCAAGCTGGGATGCATGGCCTGGGTTGGAGCATGTTCCACTGTGTAGATACAGGTCTGGGGGCCTGTGTCCTGAGGAGGTAGCAGGAGCATCCACTTAGCTGGGCAGCGGTGATTGCTGGCTACCAATAGTCATTTGCTCCCTCCCAGCCTGGTAGATGAGGATGGTTGGCACAGGCCTTGCCCAGCTGTGCCCCCTTCCATCCCTGCTGGGAGGTAGGTGGATAGTGACCCAACCAATCCAAGCCCAGCCTTGCCTGAGCCTGGCATACCTCACAAGAGATAGAGATGGATCAACTCTGGGACACTGAGCTACCACTGCAGGGAGAAAATAGAATTATAATGGAAAGAAGCCCTCCTCTGAAGTGCAAAGCTAAGCCTAAGCCATGTTCATAAAATACCAGGGTGGATTCCACCCTCCACACACATATACCCCCATAGTGGGCTCAGGACTTAAGGGAGGGGGATGGACTTAACACATTTTAAACAAACACCCACAGTGTCTGCTTAGCAGCAGCAGAGTGATTAAACAATTGTAACTGCACTGTTGACTGTCTAGGTTAGAAATCCCAAATCGGCTTGAGAGCACCGGCCACTGGGCAAGGGGACATCACTGCCACCATCCTAGACACAATCTAAAACAGACAGCATCCTGTCTGGAGGTTTCCCAACAACGGTGAATCTGGTCAATCAAGACAGCACAGGCCTGCAGACCCACAAAGACAGAGAAGTCCAGGGACCCGAAGGGAAACAGTGCCCCCTAGTGTTGGATTTCAGAGTGACAGGAATCACAGCAGTGGTCTGCATATTTTTTTGACTGTTTATTGACCATTCCAAGAAAAGGCCACTGAGATCTCTCTGCTCAGAACGGAGTGTGGGCAGGTCCCTTCCATCTCCCCTCTCTGGCCCCAGCAATCTTGCCATGGACAGCCTAGGGGTGACTAATTGGACCCTGAATGTCTGTGCCTGTACCTCACTAGGCCCCAGGGTCAGATGTGTGTAATAAAACCCGAAAGCAGATCAGTCCTGCTTGGCGATGCTCTGTAGGACCTCAGGGGCTCAGAGGACTCCCTGGCAGAGTCGGTGCAAGAGAAGTCGACCCTACCTGGTTCCTGCTCATCTGGAGTCTCCAGTAGGAGATGCTTCCTGAGGGGAGGAACCAGAAGTAAAAAAAACCTCAAGCAACTATGTATCACTGACTGTCAGCAACTCCAGCTGGGTTCTTTCTTCTCCCTCTCCTCTCTCCCCCTATCCCTCTCCCCCAGGCCTCTCCTGACTTATTTCTCCTCTGGCTTTGAGTTTGTGGTCCCTCTGACCAGGGCAATCTGTTCTGAAAGTTAAGTGTCCCCCCCCAGCTCTGCTTCTCTCACACAGTGCCCCCCCTCTTTACTAATGACATAAGCCATAAGCCAGAACAAGAAGTAGGGAGTAAGCTGGCCGCAGGGAGACCATTGGAGACGGCTAAACTGCACCTCCAAACTGAAATCCTAACCGTCAACGCCTCAGACTGTGACCTTCTTAGGAAATTGGGTCACTGCAGACAGAACTGAATAGGTCAAGATGAATTCCTGCTCGGGCATGACTGCTGTCCCCAGGAAACGGGGAAACTGGGGCACACACTTGCACATAGGAAGGCCATGACATGGACATGAAGCCAGAGGTCAGAGTGTGACACCCACAAGGCACGGATGGCCAGAAAAACTTCCAGAAGCAAGGGGACATCACAGAACAGTCTCCCTACAGAAGGGACCAGCCCTGCCACACCTCATTTTGGACTGTTGGCCTCCAGAGCTGTGGGCAGTAAACTGCTGTTCAAGCCACCCTGTCTGTAGTTGGCCCTTTCTTCCTCCTCCTCCTCCTCCTCCTCCACTGATGCTCCATCCCCATTCTGTCCTCTTACCTACCTGTCAAGAAGACAGGGAGAGAAGACTGTCCCACTAGTACCAGGACTCTTCCTACGGCTCACATTCCTGACAGGTGTTAGTAATAGATCAGGACACTCCCATGCTAAGAACACACAGACCCCAAAATCCTTTTCAACCCAGGAGTCTTAGACATTACATGCACATACGGCGGGGGAGGGAGGGAGGGAGGGAGGGAGAGAGGTCTATCAGAGTTGTCATGGCAATTTAAGCCAACTTCGTGTTTTTAGACTAGTCAGCGTCCTGCAAGGGCAAAGCAGCATTATTTGCACCTTCAAATCTCTCCTGCCATTAAACATAGTGCTTCACGAACTGTAAATACTTCCCATAAGTTGTATGTACCTAGTACACACTTGCTAAATCGAGATATTCTGAAGTTCAGACTCAAAGGAACAACCAGATCTGAAAAGACTTTCTGGGGCGGATTTTCAACGTGGTTCGGGGACAGCTCCCTCCTTCACCTCATCATGCATTTCTTCAGCATCTGCTAATTCAAGAAGCACCCACTCCATGAAGCCTGGGCTAGTGTTTTGAATTCAGTGGTGGAGTTAGAAAGCAAAGAACTGGACAGCCCAAGAAACTGCACAAAAGTACCATGAAGAAGTCACGGGAAACCCACAGGGATTACAAAACTTCAAAATATTGCCACTGGCAAGCCGGGTGTTACCTTACTAGACAGCATGCCCCCCATCCCCGCCCGGGTCCCCTGCTCTGCTCCTGCTAGTGGCAAAGGGAGGGGCACGGAAGGCTCCTGATCAAGGCAGAACCTTCGGCCCAGGGTCTCTAGCCGGCTTCCCCTCTGACAGCCCGATTTCTGTTCCTGTGATAAGACACTCTAACCAAAACCAACTTGGGAGGGAAAGGATTTATTTGGCTTAAACTTCTAGGTCACGGTCTATCATTGAGGGAAGTCAGGGCAGGAACCCAAAAAGGATCTTGAAGCAGAAACCATGGAAGGGTGGACTGGGGAGATGTCTCAGTGGTTAAGAGAACTGGCTGCCCTTGCAGAGGACCTGGGTTGGGTTCCCAGCACCACCCACATGGCAGCTAACAACCATCATAACTCCAGTTCCAGGGGATTCGACACCTTCTTCTGACCTCTGCGGGCATTGCATGACACAGGTGTACTTACGTACACGCAGATAATACACTCATAAAAAATGTAAAATAATAAATAAAATATTTAAAAAGAAACCATGGAGGAGGAGCATTGCTTGGTGGCTCATGCTTAGCCAGTTCTTCTAAGCCTAGGACCACAGGGATGGTGGGCTGGGCCCTCTCACAGCAATCATCCAATAAGAGAACCCCCCACAGACATGCTCATTGGCCCATCTGATGGAAGCAATTCCTGTCACATGACTATAGACTGTGTCAAGTTGACAGTTAAAGCTAAAGGGTACACCTTCCCTGGCCACATCCATCAGTCAGCATTAGTTAGGGAACAAGGAATGAACTCAGTGCTAAGAGATCTCTGGGGATCTAAGAGAGTTTGAAAATCACCTGCAGGTTTGGGGACTGTCGCCCATTGGGAACATTTATCGGAGGGAACTGGTGGCATTTCGACTTCAGAGACAACTGCCACGCCTCTTGGTATTAAGGACCTGCCACCCAGGGAGGACACCCAAAGAGAGGCCCGATTCTGCAGCTGCCTGGGTGTATTGAAGCATTCTCTCCTTGAGCAGTAGGGAGGCTCATAAGACTCCAGAGGCTGAGGAAACTTAGAAGGTTCCAGAAGCCAGTGAAATGTGCAAGACTCAGGAAGTTCAAGAAGTTACAAGATTCATGGGCCCCTACCCCAAGTTATATATAAACAGTAAACAGCTGACTCATGGCCCCTTCCCCAGGCTAGATATAAACAAACAGCAGGTGGAGGAGACTCTTCCAGGAAGTGTTGGGTGGGAGCTCCAGGATAGTTTTATGGGTCATCACCCAGGCTGGGGTGGGCTTTGGGGCGATGCTGCTGCCTCTGAGTCACCTGTGCTCCTGTAAGTAACCCCAAGAAACTCACTAGTTCACTAAGCTGTACTGAGTGGAATCATTTCTTTGGTGTGTTGCCAGTGCCCTGTCTGAGTCAGCAGACATGTGTTCGCATCTCCCCAGGAAAAGTGAACAACACTGGCCTACCTGCCTCACTTCATCACAGAACAGGACGAAGACCAGGGCGTAGAGGATCAGCTCAGGGGTGTGCGGCACAGAGTGGAAGTCCATGAGCAGCACGTAGGCAAACAGCAAGAGGAAGGCAATGTAGAAGACCACATTCCAGGAGAAGACCACAAAGGGCGAGGTGAAGAAGGCCACGTAATACCACAGCAGCTTCTTGTGCTTGTCAATGGGCTTCTTCCTGATCCAAGCAAGAACCAGGGTGGTGTCAGCACACAGACACAAGACACACAGACGGACACACACACGTGCACACGCACAGTGTGGGTCACAGCTTGCTTCCCACCACAGACAAATCCACACCCACAGCCAGGAGGAACAGACAGGGCAAAACTGCGACCCAAGACTGGCCTAGCCAAGATTCAACCCCTGGTGTTTAGTGATTGGTGAATCCACCCTCAGATACTGAGGGCAGGAAGGACGTCAGCCCCACCTGCATGAAGTCAGCCAGGGAAGATGCTGGACCAAACACATTGTGCATCCTAAGTTTTAGGTCTCACAACCATTTACACCAAAGCTCAAACATATGTAGATATAGTACATACAACCAGCTCACATACACAATCAGGTGCCTTGGTTCATACCTAAAGGACACGAGGCCGGAGCCCACCAGGGGGATGACAAACAGGCACAGGATGATCTTCCAGTTCTTCGTGTCCCGGGAAATCTCTCCATACCATTGCTTGGAAAGAAAATTCTGGAAGGAAACCAAGACAAAGAACAGGAGTCCTTATTGATTCAGGTGTACAAAGGTCAGTATACAGCCCTTCTTCCCAGCCCTGTACAATTCCCAATACTCAACCCACTGCAGTAATGTTTATCTTTCATGTGTCACCTGGATCTTAAGGGACTATGAAGAAACAACTTAAAATTATGTTTGATTTTTTAAATTTATTTTTATGTGTATGAGTGTTTGGTCTACATGTCTATAAATGCACCATGTGGATGTCCCTGGAGGCCAGAGGACAGCATCAGATGCCCCCTGGGACTGGAGTTACAGATGGTTGTTAGCCTCCATGTGGGTGCTGGGAACCAAACCCAGGTCTTCTGCAAAGGCAGCCAGTGCTCTTAACTGCTGAGCCATCTCTCCAGTGCCCAAATCATACTTGATTTTTAAGTCTTTTCCTAGGTTCAATTCTATAAGTTTTAAAAGAGATGGTTACATGGGTGCAAATTCAATAAACCCATGAATTTTTAACTACTATGATTCTTATTTATGTCAGCTCAAAGAAATATGTTCCTAACTCCCCTCCCTTCAGTGATCACAAGTTCAGAGGTACAGCCAAGGCTGTCTGTAGGGTCCCCAAGGATTCTGAAGGCTTCTGTTAGGAAGCTAAAAGGAAGACAGGAAGGGAGAGGCTCAGTCAATCAAACTGACCTGCAGGAAAACACTCCCCGATAGGCCCGTTCCTGAAGGAGGGGCGGAAGGGTTTCCATGACGGTGGAGGCTGGAAGAGTTACACTGCCACCAAAAGCTGGAGGGGGACAGGGGCCTGATCATACTGCCCACAGCTGCCAGCAAGAACAGCCAGTCAGCAGAAGGAGCACGGCATACAGAGGGCAAAGCAGGGAATGCCGGGGCCACGTAGTGCCACCCGGAGGGCAGGGTCTGGCGTTCCACTGGGAGGAGGACAAACCCCACCGTGTCTTCTTGGGGTTGCTCCCACAGGCATGTGCTTGGCCTAAGAGAGGCAAGCTGGACCTGGAACAGTACCCAGCAATCACAGCAGTGGGACTCTAGAGGGTTTCCCAGAGGCCCCAGGGACACCTTCCGCCTTAGCACACTGAGTCTGCTTCTCCCTTCCGACTCACTGCCTGCTCATCACTTCCAGGCTCACCTCCAGAGTACACTACTTGCATTCAGATCTGTGCACTGGCGTCTGTTTACTGGCCACGTGGTATAATGTGAAGTCTGAAGTGGGAGGCAATCCCCAGAGGTTTAAATCCCAGGGCTGCTGCTTCCTAGCATTGTGAGCCTGGGGAACGTTCCAGAACCTCTCTGAGACCCAAGTCCTCAAATTAAATGAATGCCACCCATCTGATGTGGTGCAGAGGAAACACAGAGCAGGCGTGGCCTAGAAGCACCAGCCTGCCCACCGCTCCCTACCTGCCCCTCAACCTGTACCTCTGCAACAAGCAACTCCAGGCACAGGTGTAAACTGCTGCCTGCTTGAAATGGGCCAGCTTCACCCATTTCAGGATCATTTCTCTATCACCACCAAGAATGATTAGAGCAGTAACAGCTGGTGCAAAAACCTTTCATTTCTCATAGAATTTCATGGAATCACCATAGCAACTCTTCCTGACAACCACAACTGCTACTGTCAAATATGAAATGCACCCCCCTCATCTCCAGGCTCATGAACTCCTGGTCCCTAGCTGGAGGTGCTGTTTGGGGGAGGTTTTGGAGTTCGCTGGTGGAATGAGCCGCTGGGGGTCAGCCTTTGAGAGCGATAGCCTGGCCCAGTTTCCAGTCCTATATTCTCTGCTTTCCAACCAACCAAGAGCAAGGAGCGTCACAGCCACAAACTCTGTGACATCGGATTGAAATGTGAGCCCAAACATCTTTCCTCCTTAAGCTGCCTGTCAGGTCGTTGGTCACAGAAAGATAACTAATATACACAAATATCCCCATTTCACAGATGATAAACCAAGGTCCATCATTTCACATCTACTTCAGTGGCTCAGGCTCCAAGTAGTGGGATCCAGAGCTACAGATCGTTATTATAATGTACTGTTTGCTTTATGAAAACTCACAAAGACATCTGTCTCCTTGCTAAGTGGTCTTGGTTTCATTTCTATTGCTGTAATAAAAATACCCTGACAGAAAGTATCTTTAGGGAGAAAGGGTTTATTTCAGCTCATAAGTCTGGGTCACAGTCCATCATGGAGGGGAAGTTGTGGGGAGGTGACACGACCCTGAAGGAGCCGGTCACGCCCACACTCGAGAACAGAGAGGGAATGACTGCTTCTGCCCAGCTCGCCTTCTCTCCTTCTACAGCACAGAACCCAAACCAGGACCTGTTTCCACCCGCCTTCAGGTGAGTTTTCTCACATCAATTAAGTCAAGAGAGTCCTGCACAGACACTCACAGGCTAGACGGCACCTCTGAGACCCTTCTCAGATGATTACAAGTTGTGTCATATTGACAAGCTAACCATCACCCGGGTCTTACTCGCCAAAGGCCCATATGTTAAAGGCTTAATCCCTAGTGTGAGACTTTGTGGGGGGGTCTTAGGTCACTGGGGACACGCCCTGGAAGGGGCATCAGTTCCTCCTCTTCTCTCAGCTTCCTAGCTACCATACCACCTGCTGCAGTCCTGCCTCGTCATGTACCCAGAAGCAATGGGGATGAACAACCATAGACCTCCAGACATGGTGAGTCAAAGTAAACCTTCCCTCTTTCAAAGTTGATTAGTTCTGTGATTTTGGTACAGTGATGGTAAGCTGACGAACATGCTACAGGAGTAGAAAGGGTCCTTATGAGAAACCAGTCAGTCTGCTCCTGAGTGGAGCCTTAAATTTCCAGTTTTGTGGGGCCAGTCACCTGGTCACAGGACCACCCCCAGGAAGACAGGTTCACTCTAGTCACTCCAAAGAGATAGGTGGAATACCTAGTGTGCTAATGAGATGGTGACCTTTTTCTTCCCAGAACCCCCACCCCCTAGCGCAGTGCTCATGGACCAGGCCACAGACACGCAGCTTTCTATAAGTCTGCCTGCTTTTCTGAATAGCAAAACAGACCCCCTCCTTGTCTTCTTCCTGTCTTTTCTAAGCACTTTCCCTGACACCGAATTTCCCCAACATCTTGAGTGTCTTTGCTTTTGCTCTATCGCCCCCTTCCCCTCCGCGCCACGCAGCTGCTGGTCCACCGCATCTCTGCCCTCCACGCTAGCTGTGATCCCGCAGGGCTTTGTGGCTTTTCCTTCTCCCCTCCATTCTCCTGCTCAGGCAGCTACGGAGATGTGTTGCTCTAAGAGTTTCTCCTTAATAAAATTGTCCTAAAGTTTCCACGAGTCCATTCTTAAATTCTTTTTTGAATGAGACTAAGAACCCCAAAAGAGGCCCCACTTTCCCTGTGTCAGATTCACTCTTGTGCCATCTCTTAAGATAAAGATGCCCAGCAATGCCTACATGCTGCCATCTCCCATGTTGTCACCCATCTACCCCCATGACCCATCTACACCCATTTTACATACGAGGAAAAAAAAAGGGCTTTTAACATTATTTTCTTTTTTTTTTTCCTCACAAAGAACCGTATTCCTTCTGAACATGAAGCTGAGCGTTAACATTATTTTCTCAATGCTACTGATAACATGTGATGTCAAAGCCCATTTCTGGGTGCACTGTTCAAGGCCTGACTGTTGCTTACCTGGACCCCAGGCTGGGCAATGAAATGCTGGTCTGTAGCCTCCACGGCCAGCTCCAGACAGTTGCTCCCGCCCCAGGCTTCACAGGAATAGACCAGCAGCTGCTCTGCCAGGTCTTCGTCACTGCTGTAACACTCTGTGAACAGCTCTGCGTCATCACAGAGAGGAGAGTCAGGGTCGGGGCAGGCACATGCAAGCCCTGGCCTGTGCACCCCCCCCCAACCAAAGCCTGCACAGATTGGGTGTGAGGATGCAGAGTTACAGAAGGGTACGGAGAAAATTGTCCCCATGTCCCCTTTACTAAATAGATGATGTCTTCAGACACACAGAGTCAGAAGTCTCCTGAGTGCAGACGGTGTTCATAAACATTAATGGACGTGAGCTGCCCTCAACCCCAGGGAGCCCCGTCTCCGATAGGCTTCTGTCTGGACACGGGCAGGAGGCCTTGCTCCCTAGGGAGGACCTCAGACCCTCTGCCTCCCCTTACCTAAGATAACTCCTCCTCCATGCCTTTCTAAGCAAGATATCTTTGCACATAAGTCACAGCATGAAAACCAACCAAAAAACCCAAAATGCAGAAGAATCGGACCTGCTGCACTGCTCGTTCTTCAAAAACTAATGAGGAGGAGACCAGAGCACAAATCCTCGGAGAAAACTTTGGAAAGCTAAAATATTGGGAGCCAGAAAGGAATCATATCTTTGAAATTTCAATTTGTCAAAAGAAATAATTGCACATCTGGTCTCCAACACAGGGGAGCTGAGTTCGTGGGCGTTTTCCCATTAGATAAGATGGTAGACAAAGCTTGCCGTGCAGTTATCACACTGAAAACCTCAAACAGCGAAAAAAAGAACCAAGCTGGCCTACAACTCCGCACTGTCAGGAGTGCTCACATCCCTGAAGGGCCTGGGTCTCTGCAAATGAGCTTGCAAGTTAGGTAAATGCTTGGACCTGTCACAGTGTCTCAACAGGAAAAAAAAAAAAAATGCCCAAGTTCCCTAAGATGCTGGGATACTTAGACATGAGGCTTGTGTGTCCCTGGGTGACCGTGGGGTCACTCAACCCAAGATCCCCCCATTTGTCCTTGTGGAAGTCTAATTGTCAGAGGCATACAGCATGTATGTGGACTGTACACCCCATTGTGAGGTCTGCCGCTGCCTTATCACACCGGCGAGGAGAGCTGGACCACACTTAACCCCAGCCAATGCGCTGTGACTGCCACTGGCGAGAGGGGGCACCACTGTGGGACACTCACCAACTGCCCGGGTCTCATACTCATTAGCCAGCTCTTCTGACTCCCCAGCAGCGTTGATGTCGTTCTTTACTTTGGCAAGGGTCTTCAAAAGTTTGCTGGCCCCCAAGGCTGCCAGAGTGCAGCCCTTGGTCTGTCGGGGAGTCGGGGGAGTGGAGAATTTTAGATTCATTCATAATCTCTTGAGATGGTCAATATCAAGTTTGAGCAAGTATAAACTGGAAGCCACAGTAGAAAATGGTAAAGTCATAACTAATAATGATTCGAGGCTGTCATGAGCCCAAAATAGACTTAGAACTCAATAAACTATTCACCATCCTATACATGGAATTAGCATAAAGAAAAGAGAATTCCCAGATAATACTTCAAGAAAAGGAGACGGCAGGACACGTGGCTGGCCACTATTTCGGTGTTGTCACGATAGTGAGAACACGGGGAGCAAGTGAACGAGAACACAGAAGACACGCGTGATAGAGCGGCGTCAGAACCAACAGGAAGGTCTACTTTTGTACACTGGATGTGGAGAAGGGAGCACGGCTGTCCACAGATTCACTTACAGAAACAGCCAAACCACAAAGAAAAAGCCTCAATAAATTTTCCAAAGTAGAAATTTTACAGGCCCTGCTTCCTTTCCATAAAGCTAGAAGTGATTATTATTTTACCCCTGTCACCATGCAGTTCTGCGGATCAAACCTAAGGCCTTGTGTGTATAAGCCAAGTGTTTAGAAATTAGTTTTAGAAGTTAAATATCAACATTTCTTACACTTGGGAAATACTTTCACACACACCCCCCACACCTGTGGAACAGGAACGTGTAGGGTATCCTCCAAGCCCTGCATGGCTCCTTTCCAGGGACTGCTCCTCCCAGGCACATCTCCACGGACATGCAAACTGAGGGACAGCCATATTCATGTGTGTAAGATGCTCCAGATTCTGAATTAGGCATGTGAGCACTGATTAGATCAGAACTCTTACAATACAGCACGCATTGGGCACATATTTGGTGCAGGCCTGGACACTCACCTGCTCCCAGATGACCTTGGAGAGTTCTTTCTTGTTCTGAAGGATGGCCCAGATGAAGAGAGCTTGCAGGGGGTGCCGAGTGGTGAGAGACACATCCTGGGAGGGGTCAGAGCATCTGGTCACATATGCAAGTAGACATTGCTGTATGTATACTATTCTAATGGTGAAAGTGGGGGTTTGGGAACCCTGAGCTCGGCGCTTCTTGTTTGGAGAGCTCTTAGCTTGGGGTTAAGTCCATTTTAGCAGCACAGTGGTGTGATTCTTTCGCATTTCTGAAAGTCAGCAGGTGGTGTGATTTGACATGAAACCTTTCATCCATCATAATAGACAAAGTGGAACTGGACGGGAAAGTACAGAGGGAGAAAACTGAGCAATTTGAAGTCGGAGTGACTTCTGGAACACCACAGAAAGTAACTCTTCCCCATCCTATAGATCATTTCTTAAATGTTCACATTGAATTCTAAGTTCCCTGTGGCTTAAATTCAATTATCGCAATGCAAAATGCACTTATTACTTTGCACTGTCATCCAAAGATTGGAGTCCCAGTGCATCAGTTAGAATCCCAGCTCCTGTTCAAGATTCTGCCCCTTCCAATGGAATGTTTTCAGACTGTCCATGTTCCTTCTCAACTTCCATACTGGTTTCACTCAGAACTAAGCTGTACAGGGCCCAATTTTGTGCTGCACTTCAAAGTTAAAAATGCCAAACAGAAGTTCTACAAACACTTCCATTGCATCCACATACTGAGCTCATTCCAAATTCTAACAAGATCACACACACACACACACACACACACACACACACCTAAAAATCCCAGAATGACAAAAGAGAATGACCTAGTTTGTTTTCTCAGAATCAATCCTGAGATGAGAATTTGAGGCAAGTATTTTACTTGGAGAGTGAAGAAATTAAATCAGAAAAGAAAGACACCCATAGAAGGCACATTATCAAGCAAGGCGCTGTGTGGGTTAGCAGAGAGTTCAGCCCAATGTGCAGTTCTCAGAGCCGGTGGAATTCATGGCTCTGAGTCATCTCCTCCAAGTGAGGGAAACTGGGGCATTCAAACACCATCCTCTGAAATCCCTGGGCTCTGACTGCCTGGTGATACCAGGTGAAACAGACCTGCCTGTACTTAAAAAGAAAGCCAGGGGTCATGGGTGGCATGTTCCCATCTGCTCAGATGGATACCTGGACCACATCTGTGGAGAGAGCCACTACTCCGTTTACACAGAGGAACACCTGGCAGTCAGCACCTCACCTGGGCAGCAGGGAGCACAGGGGTAAACAGGCTGCAACATGGGCAGGCAGTCATCTGTCTGCCCCTGTTCCCCATCAAACGCCCTCAGGAAATATGCCACGCTAAGCTTTGGAATTAAAAAAATATGCTGCAAGTAAACATAGCCAGGGTCATAGAGCATCAGAAAACTCACCAGTGACTTTATCAAGGAAAAACAATGGAACAAATCAGTATCGGCGTGCTAGCTGCTTTATGGCGATGAGGTAGGGAATGGGAGGGGTGGAGGCAGAGAACTGAACTCAAGCAGACAGCTCTGCCGGTACATACATGGAGTTCCACGTCCAAGTCCTCCCTGCTGCTTCTGTCTTCCTTCCAGAAGCTTCTACGGAAGTTTGCCACCAGCTTCCAGACAAATGTGAGGAGGGCATCGTTGTAGGAATTCTTGGCGATCTGCAGGTTCCGGTACACGAGGGTGCTGAAGTGGGTGGAGAAGAGCTCGGTGAGGACGTCATTCGTGAGAAACTTCTGCAGGTTCAAGCCATTCTCCAGAAAGAGGCGGACAAACTTGGGCCTGTCCTTTATGAGAGCCGTGAACATGACTTCTTGAAGGTCAGCAGACTGAGGAGAAAGAGAAGACGGAGAGTTCATACCATAAGGCTGACAGGGAAAACATGAGCTGCAAAGTCATGTCTTCAACTTCTCTTTCAATCCCAATTGATAGAATAAAATTCACTTTTTCAGCATTTAGCTGTAGAAGCGGCAAAGTGGACTCTTTGAAGGTGACCTGGACTCTTGCTCATTTGGAGACAGACATGCCCATGTGACATGGGCTGGGAGCTGACCCAGCACTTGGTGCAGAGCAGCAGGGAGCAGAAGTCAGTGTTATAGCTGGGACCCTTCCTGTCTCTGGAGTCTGCAGCACACACCGACTGTGGGCCACTACCAGTGCTGCCCGTGCACTCCACACCATCACCATGGAAACTGCTGCCCTTCCCAGGTGACCGCTGAACTGTCCTACAGTGACTGAGTTCTCAAACACCCTTGGCAAAATGGAACCCATCACACCACATGCCATCAAGCAAAGGTCTTGGATATGACACAGTAGAACGTTACTGGAATACCCGACAGGGCTGACAGTTCGTTATCGGTATCGCAGCTTTCTGAGCTCCTGATAAAAATGATCCCAGGGAGCCTTGCTGGGAATCTTGTTCTTTCATTTTGGTAAAGACAGAGTCTCACTTGGTAACCAAGTTGGCCTGAAACTCACTACATAAACCATGCTGGCCTTAAACTCATGGTAATTCTCCTGCACCAAATGTTGAAATTACAGACACGAGTCATGCCAGCCTTGCTGAGAGTCTGAAGAAAGATCAGTGCTCACTTCAGCCACAGACCAGTGGGCTCAGGCCTCATCGACTCTTATGTGTGTCACGTGTCCTCCATAATATTTATGACAATTCGAGTCCATTGTCAACATTCACAAATTCAAAGGGTCATCAAAATCTCTATTTGTAGCATTAAATCCAGCCTCAAAAGTGGAAACGTAAGGTATGACAACACCGGAGCCGTCAGCAGGATCGGGTGGCGGCCGCTCCCTGGAGCCCAGGCCCTCCGGCGCCCACCGTCTCCATGGCTCCCCACTGTTGCCACGTAACTCCCTTGGGTTTCTTGCCCAGCCCCTGGTTCAGTGGCAGCAGTGATGGTTTTCATGTCTAGCTAATGTTCCCTTGGGCTAACATGCTGCCTACAGGGAACTGTCACCGTCCTTTGAGTCCCCACGTTATGGATCTCACTGGGATCAGCAGTGAAGGGGCTCACTTACAGACAATGGCGGCTAGCGTTCTCCACTATCAACAAGGCACGTGTCCGTCATGCCTGGCATTTTGCATTTCATTAAGTGCCTTCCCATTGATCCCACACTGGCATCATGGGGTGGTGGTTCTTAAACCCGGGTACTTACTCTAACAGACTGCTGGGGGTCAACCTTGGCATCTCTAAGCAAGCCTGAGGTGGAACCCAGTGGTTTACACTTTAAAAAATATTTTATTTATTATTTTATGTGTATGAGTGCATTGCCTGTATGTGTATAAGTGCACCCATGTCCTGCAGTGTGCCTGTGGAGGTCAGAAGGCAGCATTAGATGCCCTGGAACTAGAGTAAGTGGATGGTTGTTAGCTGCCATGTGGGTGCTGGGAATTGAAACCAGGTCCTCTGCAGGACCAGTTTGTGCTCTTAACAGCTGAGCTATCTCTCCAGTCCCTGGTTTACACTTCTAACAGGATCTCAGGTATAAGGTTAGCGGTCCGAGGACCACACTGTGAGAACCACTTGCACATGGGAAAGAAAAGACTTTGCAGACAGACACATCTCTATTTCCAAACCTCAATTCTACCATTTTCTAGCAGGATGAGTCAGTACAACATTATGTCTCTGAGCCTCAGCTTGCTCTGTTCTGGTTAGTCAAGACAAAATGAGACAGCCCAGGTCAGAGATTCAAATTCAGAGCAGCCCCTAAAGAACCATCAAGAAACCTTCTGCAACAGCCACCGAGCTCTGACTCGTTTCCCAACAAAATGAGAACATCTCTGCTGTGGGTTGGTAAGTGGTAAGGAGACCTCTCTGTGCACTGTAAAGGGTCACACAGCACCCCTGGCCCCAAGACTTTTTTAAGGTCAGAGCGAATGCTGCTCTAGTGCTTAATAAATGTCACTGTTCCAACCCCCTTAGAAACAGCATGTGATTTCATGGACAAAACAGCACAATGAGGAAGAGCTACGGCTCTCTCCATCTCCAGGTGAGCCATGGCATCCTGGCAAATATTTAACAAGAGAAACGTAGACCCTGGCTGCAGTGTCTGCTGATTTCTGTGATGAAAATGCTCCCACCCACCACGGCTGCTTTCCCATCACAACGGTCACATCACCGAGCGCAGAACTGGGAAGGGATGTGGAGTCTCACACCACTGCATAAAAGCAGACAGCTGCAACAGAGACCACCTCCCAATGGCAATTAATAATAAGTGTGATCAAATAGCTAGAAAATCATGAGTTGGTGTGTGTGTGTGTGTGTGTGTGTATGTGTGTGTGTGTGCGTGTGTGTGTTGCATGTGTGTGAGTGTGCAGCTTTGTGGCCCTGTGAGCACATGCAGAGTCCAAAGCAAGACTTTGCATCTCTTCCTGGTTCCTGCCACCTTCCTACCCTGAGACAGTGCGTCTCACTAGACCAGAAGCTTGCCTCTTCAGCGAGGCTGTCTGTCCAGCGGGGTCCTAGTGATCTTCCTGCCTCCCAATGCCGGGGTCATAGACACATACAGCCCTGCCCAGCTTTTTATGTGAGTCCTGGGGATTCAAACTCTGGTCTGCATGCACCCTTACTGAGCCATCTCTCCAGCCCCAAAGTCATGAGTTGATAGTTTTTTACCTTTGTTTCTCATAAAATCTATTTAAATTCTAAATTTGCACAATTTGATTTTTTTAAGAATGACTATATTTAGCAACCAACCCCCCAAATCTCTGAAAACTTAGCAGCCAGTTGTTGCAGTCCGGTATGCTGGCTCCAGCACTGTAGAGGAAACTGAGGCAGTGTCTAGCTGAGCACCTTGCCCACAGTCATGCAGAGGACTTTTCCAGTACCCGACTCTCAACCATTATGTCCTTCACCCCAACAATCTTCAGCCAGGTTAACAAAATTCAATTTATAACTTTAATATGTGTCTGTTTATTTATGAATTCCATCTGACCTTACTTAAATAGAACAATTTACACAGAGGGATTCATTTATGAATCAATTAATTAATCTACTTATAATTCTACTTTCCCTCCATTAACTAAAGCCTGGTGCTGTGTAATAGGGTTCATTATAGTGCAAAGACCAAACACAAGACAATGTTTGCTAAAGGGATGAATAACTTAAAAATTCATGAGCCATTAATCCACTACTGTCATTAAAATTGATCATATGTTAATATAAGTCAAGTCTTAGTCTTTGGCAATGCAGTGGTAGGCCCGTATAGCATTAGTGTCAACTTGATACACCTGGGTTGAGGGAGCTTCAATTGGTGTTGTTTCCATTGAACTGGCCTGTGGCCATGTCTGTGGGGCATCTTCTTGATTACTGAGGATATGGAAAAGCCCAGCCCACTGTAGGCACCCCTGGGCAGGTGGGCCTATGTTGTACAAGAGAGCAGATTGAGCATGGGGCAGGGGAGCAAACCAGTAAGCAGCATGCTTCCATGGCCATCAGCTCCTGCCTCCAGGTTTCTGCCCTGAGTTCCTACCTTGGGCTCCCTGATGAACTATGACTCAGTGACGTAAGCCAAATAAACCCTTTCCTCCCCAGGTTGGTATTGGTCAGAGTGTTTTGTCACAGCAATGGAGAAACAAACTAGAACAGCCTGATACTGGTTTTGGAACCTGGCTGTGGAGGATGGGAGCTGTGAGATAAGTGCGCCTTCAAATCTGCACACAGGTATAAAATTAAATATATCCTCGTTTCCCCTAACAACCTCAATTCAGAAGAGCTGAAAGCTAGAGGTAGCCTTGTAAGTCTAAGTTGATGCTTTAACTGTTGCTGTGGAACAGAGTGATCGAACTTCAGAGGCCCACAAGAGGACCCCTCCCACAGATGTGGTCCTAAAACACGAAACCAAAGAGCGAGAAAAGCAGCGTGCTGGAAAATAATAGTTTTTACTGCACATGTGTGCAGCTTCCATATTGAAAGTGTTTGGTTGACGCAGAGGGACCCAAGTACCTCACTCTAACACACCTCGTGGGTATTTTGGACCAAGTTGCTCTGTTTTCCCCTTATACGTCCCATCCCTGACAGAACTTTCAGCAGAATTTGACTGGGCGGGTCAGGTAGCAAATGAGCGCTGCTGCTTTGAACCTTAGTCAAGTTACTCTCCCTGTGTCCTTCATGCCTCCACCCAGCTACGCTCAAGGGCAGACCTGTATCCTCTCATCTCCTGGTTGCAGGATTACAAACTTTGGATACCTTACATTAGAGCCCTTGGCTATGTTTTCTCTTTGAAAGAAAACCTACTCAGCCAAAATCCCGTCCAACAGTCAAAGAGCGAGAACAAAGCAATCATAAGACTTAATATTGACGGCCCTGTTGGAACTAGAGCAGCTGCCATGGGGCTGCTGTCCATGTTGACCCCAGAATCACAGAAGGCTCCTCCTTACCTCCCATCTGCGGTCATTGGTGAAGATCTCATCGCTGGCAAGGTCCAGCTGGTTCCACTCCAGCAGAAGCTTCAACTGCCCGTTCCAGTTGTCCTTGTCCTGCTCATTAGTGCTAAAGGCTGGAAGTGAGCAGGAAGAGAAGCAACAGACCCCAGGCTCATACATAAGGAAGCCAGGATCTCACATCCACAAATACCAGAGCCACTTGCCAAAACAAGCGTGCTCTCTTAGAACCAGAGGGAGTAGCTGTGTCACGCTGTCACTCAATCTTTTTCTTTATTTTATTGACTTTTATTTTATCTGTATGAATATATTGCCTGCATGTGTGAAAGTGCACCCACATAATGCAAAGCCTGGGAGGCCAAAAGAGGGAGTCAGATCCCCTGGAACTGGAGTTACTGACAGTTGTTAGCCGCCATGTGGGTGCTGGGAATCAAACCTGGGT